ACACACAGAGTTATCCAAGAACAAAACATCTACCCTTTTCTACAATGGTATAACAAACATATGGTATAGCTTTTAGATGATGCTTTCAACACTTACTTCAGATGGTATCAACACTTGCAGATCGTCTTACCTCCACAATTATCAAGTCCACTCAACCCACTACAGTGAACAAACAGCTATAAAGGCTGGCAAGAGGCAGAGCACCATGCTTTTCATGAGCAGAAAGCACACCTGAATACTATGTATAGAACAAAAGCTTTAGGTTATCTATTTCTTCTTCATGTTCAGTACGTGAGATTACCTGTGTAGAAATTTGAAAACTAGAGTCCGCAAGTATAGTGATCCATAAATGGATCAATGGAAAGATTTCAGTGGTTAAATTATTGGAATGGAACTGAAGGAAAACAATTGTGTCCCATCCTTGCCACAGGTTTTCTTCACACTTCCAAAATCTAAATAATTTATCAGAACCTCTATTCCTCAACTGCTAAAACACAATAATATTTCTCTCCCTTCTTCATCCCGAATTGCTGCCCATCTTGTCTGTTTGATTATTAAGTCATTAAGGGCATGAATTATCCTAAGTCTCTGCATATATGTCACTTGAAGAAAAGGACCACTTCAGCCTCCAGACTCGGTAGACCAGCACTTAGAAGCTACAGTATGTAACATTTATTCCATGAGAAAAATGAAAAGCTACTATAACAAGGAAAAATCTTACATTGTATTCCCTATCAATAGTCTCCTGATAGCAAACATAAAGCTTACTGAAATGCGAATAGCAATGCTAGCTGTCCTGCAATCTTAACTACACTTCTACAAAAGCACATTGTTTGTAGAGATGAGGTCCACCCTTGCCTTTTCATTAACATATTAAAATGACAAGAGTAACCTTTGTAACTTCCTCGATTTCCTTACCTTCCCGAAGAAAGAACAACACTGCACTTTAAATTTAAGAAACATTCAAGAACTTGTTTTGAACAACACTATTTTAAAGAAATGCACCTTAAAACACTAGTTTTGAAAGTATCAAAACACACTAAGTATCTCACACTTAAGCAAAAAGTATTGTGTAATGTCCATTTAAAAAAAAAAAAAAAAAGTTGTTTTTAATACCAGATAAAGTACAAATATTGCAAACCTATAACTAAGTCTCTAAGTACCAGGATACATAAATATCACATAGACTCAAAGTATAAACATGGTACAAGAATGAACTACAGAATGTGTCATCCATTACACCTTAACCAGGTCCTAAAAACCCCTACTCTATTAACATAAAGCCCAAATTGCATACAGAAAAATACTGATCTTAAAAACTTTATAATCAGTCCCAACTAGCCAATAAACACACAACATTTTTACTTCAAATCTTTCCAATTCCAGGCACCTTCAAAAAAGGCTAGAAAACCAGTTCCACCCATAACACAACTTACAAAATTTTAACCAACTTCAATTTGTTTCACATTAACAGACAGTATGCTAGATAATAATCAAATAATAAGAAATGCAGAATGTATTTTAAAAAAAACAGAAAGGAACAGCTCAGATACAAATTTACAGAAATTGGAACAGCTGCCCACTTCCTGGTATGCTTTACAAATGTCTCATGGTACCAATTCCAGTTTCTCAGTACTGCCATTATATAAGGCAAACACTATAATTCTTCTTAAAGCAATATTTATTTGTTCTGATGAAAATAAATTAAGCCAAAATGCTTCCAAAGTTATTAAAAAAATAACTTTACTACACCTAGACTAATCTGCTACGATGTTTTCCTCCATAATTATTTTTCAAGCAGTCTGTTATAATTAAACTGAGGCTATTTAATTATAGATTAGTAGAAAATTAACATTAAAGTCAACACGAAAGGGACAAAGTCAATATATACGAATTCACACTGTCCGGAACTCTTTTTAAACAAGCAACACCTACAATTATAAGAAAGATGAAAGAATATTGTCACTATGAACTTATTTTCTATGCTTAATAAAAGCACAGATAAACACTTTGTTAATTTTGTCAACACATATGGCCTTTACACAAAGGAAATACCATTTTTAAAATCAGCTCGAAAATAAAAGGGCTGCAAAACCACAAAAGGTAATAGAGCCCAAAAACTGGTATATTGCATGGAACTACTTTGTCTCTCTTTAAATCAACTTCAGTATCAATACTTTTAAATGGAAACATGCTTCAAATTTTGTCTACAGGATATGACAAACTGATTAAACTCAATGAATAGGAATTAACAAATATCTTATAGCAAATACATTAGACCAGATACACCAACCTAAATCTGTATAGAAGCCAAATAACTACAGGTTACGAAATGAAGGTTTGCTACTGAAAGAAAGTCAACTTTGGCTAAACACTGGAAGTACCATTAAAAAAAAAAAAAGGAGGGAGACAGAAAGAAAAAGGAAATGCTTTCCAATTAAATTCCAATACAATGGATGCCCTCCCCCTTCCCCCAAGTAATCTTTAAGCTTCTTTAAGCTTCACCTCCTGCGAGAACATCTTCCTGCGAAAAAGAGACATGAAGATAACAGCAGGGGTTTTAGTTTTGTTTTGGAGTTTTTTTGCTCCTTCACATTAACGTTCTTGTCAACTACAGAAGCATAACTAAGCACTTTCTCTTATACCAGCCTGGCTACATTGGATTTTTAGCATTTCAACCAGTTTGAAAGGTGACCTGTCTTCCAATTTCCCTCTCCTCTCCCACAAAACCACACTAGCTGCTAACTATGACTTTCAGGCTCCTTTTCTGTAAAATAAATACCAAATTTTTGGCAATAGAAAATTCCATTTCTCTGTAACGCATACTAATAGCGCATACACCATTACAGGGAAGTTTGATTTCTTCTGGCTTATCATATATCCAATACATGGAGCAACAATACGATATGCCTGACCTTTAGTCTATATCTATAATTCATAAAATTGTATAGATCTGATGTTTTATCTGCTCTTTTGATTTGCTACACCCAGCAGCAGGACTCAGTTTAGTTCATGATACTACAGCCGTACACCCTACAAAGCAAAACGTACCAAAAAAGGGGGATTACAGTCCAGACCCAGAGCATGAATAAAACCCACAACTATGTTAAAGCTCCAGACACGAAGCCTCCTCCATCCCTGAAAGAGATCCCAGATTTCTTCGTATTAAACTCTGTCAGGGTGTGGCTTCATTAAACCAGAGTTCCCACTGCAAAGGCTTCATGAAATCTCCTGATCAGCCTGCAAGTGGCTGGAGCCAATGCACTGACTCCTGCTGAGTGAACCCCAGTACCTCCCCAGTACCCAGAGAGTAGTACCTCTTCGTATTGACGTACCGAATTTAGGCCCACAACAGAATCCTGCTGCTGCAAAAGTGCCTATGCAGATTATGGAGCAGTTCCCTCAACACTTGCAACGCAGGACCTCACCAGTCAGTCTCCCTGGACATGTACACTGCTCCTACCACCTTAACCACAGGTAACACTGTTAGGCGCTCACAGAAGAGATGCTGCTACAGCCTGCCTTTTTAAAAGCTTCAATAGTGGGTGTGCGATTCTCTCATCAAGGGGAGTGCCGATAAATTTTTGCCTTTGTGAAGGATTACTCTGGGAACATGACTCAATGGTTTTCCTTACCTGCTATACTTGCACATAAATCTCATGTTACTTTAAATGCGCTGGTTTGTAGATTCTTAAATCAGTCAGTTAGGATTTCATAATTATGTAGTCTAGGGTCTTTGTTAGCTGTTGTTGCTCCATGCACAAAAGGAAAGATTTTGCTACTATCACTGTAAAATCTATTAATTAAATGCACATATATATGGCCACACTTTCTACAATAAAAATAACTGTTACATGGAAATAAAGTGATTTGCTAGATTAATTACTCTAAGCCTTCCTGTACAGTGTAGACTGTATGAAGCTTCACACACAGAGAAAAGGAATTAAGTAACAAACATCTAAAAAATAACTTCTCACTTATCAATAACAGTAATTGAAACATGCACATTCCCTGAAAGTAAAAAGCACAGACAAAGCCTAACCTGGTTCAAGCCAAGTAATTCTTCTCGAACATCTCTGCACTGAAGACTAACGTTTTAATCTTTCTACTTCCTTAACAATCTACTTTTCTCAGAGACAAGTTTTACGGATAACACGCTTCGTGAGTTAGTGTGCAATTCATAAACGTCCAAAACTGTCAGCAAACTGAACTGAAATAGCAAAATATTTGGTTGTGGAGTTTTTTTAGTATTCACCGCATAGATTCATACATTGATACAGTAGCAGAACATAAAATGGTATTTTTAGAAATACACTTCAAAACTATCAAGATGCTGCACAACTTCTGTTATCTCAAATTGTATACACTAAAACTTTAATCGACTGGTATAAAAAAAGAAAACGCATTATATGCAAGAAAGGACTCAAAACACCTAATATGCTGAATTGCTCCCTGCATTACTTAATTTTACAGTATGCAAAACAAAACTTAACCTAGTGATGTTAGGTATCAGACGATCTAACTACATATGATGCTTTTATTTTCTATCCAGCATCCTTAAGCTCTATCCCATATATGATTCTTTCTAATACTGCCGATAGCCTAAACAGCATTCACAGAGCAGACGTTATTTCTGGTCCACTAACAGTTAACATACATTATTTAACTGGTCTGACATGTCACTCCCCTACCTTTTCGATTTATCGGAAGAAGTACTTTTATAAATAACTCTGAAAATCAAAAGGAAACCACGAGGTTTTTTTAAATATAAGCACAAAGAAAAGTGTACTTGCTTTTCCTTCCATCCATCCCCCCTCCCCCCACGTCCTGACATTGAGCTTTTCCAATCACGCCAGAAATAAACACTCAAAAATAAGTCAGGGCCTAGGCTACCGAATTCAACACACTTTAGAGTCAGGTCTTCAGATCAACCAAGACCAGCCACAGAAAAAGATTCTTCGTGTGAAAATATCAGCATACAGCACGGGCACAACAATAGGATGAACAAAGTGTCAAATGCCGCGCTACTGACAGGAACAAGTCAGAACGCAGGAACCAGAAGAACGCAGTCCCCTGCTTCAGCCGTGTGGCATTTCAACAACAGTGCGACTTATTCTGGCGCACGAACGTTTCCTTCGCCTTCAGTCTTTAAATACAGCCGGCAGACGCTCAGCCTGCACCGCCTTTGTCAACAGCTTACGGATGGGCAGCAGAATGTGCTACAGGTTGATAAGGAGGACACCGGCGCTGCGAACGCCCTGCCTGCAGCAGGGAAGCACCCAGAAAGAACTTGCAATGCGCAGGAGAGTTTCCCCTCAACCTTCACCGGGGGCTTCACGCTCCCGGCGACGTGCGTGTCCCTTCCCGGTATTTGTTTCGTGTTTACCTCCCCCCCTTTCCCCCCCCCC